ATTTATCCCTTCCCACCCTCTTCCCCGCTGATAACCGTAAGTTTCTTTTCTATGTCTGAGTCTGTTTCTGTTTCTGTTTTGTAAATAAGTTCATTTGTCTGTTGTTGTTTTTTTAGATTCCACATATGAATGATATATGGTATTTTTCTTTCTCTTTCTTGCTTACTTCACTTACATTCCATTGTGTATGTATGTTGTGTGTGTGTGTGTGTGTGTGTATATATATATATATATATATATGTATGTATGTATGTATATATCACTTCTTTATCCAGTCAACTGTTGATGAATATTTTGGTTGTTTCCATGTTTTGGCTATTGTAAATAGTGCTACTATGAACATTGGGGTGCATGTGTCTTTTTAAATTATTAATTTTTTTCGGGTATATGCCCAGGAGTGGGATTGCTGGATCATAAAGTAAGTCTATTTTTATTTTTTTAAGGAGCTGCCATACTGTCCTCCATAGTGGCTGCACCAATTTACATTCCCACCAACAGTGTAGAAGGGTTCCTTTTCTCCACACCCTCTCCAGCGCTTATCATTTGTAGTCTTTTTAATGATGGCCATTCTGGCTTGTGTGAGATGATATCTCATTGTAGTTTTGATTTGCATTTCCCTAAGAATTAGTGATGTTGAGCATCTTTTCATGTGTTTGTTGGCCATCTGTATGTCTTCTTCAGAGAGATGTCTATTTAGTCTTCTGCCCATTTTTTGATTGGGTTGCCTGTTTTTTGGTATTAAGGTATATGAGCTATTTGTATAATTTTGAACTTCTTTGCGTTACTTTCTGAATTTTATTCTAGTGTTTTTTTAAGTTGAAATATAGTTGATTTATAATACTGTGTTAGTTTCAGGTATATAGCAAAGTGATTCAGTTATTTTTTTCAGATCAGTTTCCATTATAGGTTATTACAAAATATTGAATATAGTTCCCTGTGCTCTACAGTAAATTCTTGTTGCTTATCTTTTTTATGTAAAGTTTATCTGTTAATCTGATACTCCTAATTTATCCCTCTCACTCTTCCCCCTGTTGTAACCATAAGGTTGTTTTCTAAGTCTCTGCTTCTATTTCTGTTTTGTGTATAGACTCATTAGTATCATTTTTTAGATTCCACGTATAAGTGATACCATATAGTATCTGTCTTTCTCTGAGCGACCTCACTAAGATAATGTCTAGGTCCATCCTAGGCCATGTAGTTCTGATGTTTGGCCACCAGAGGGCAGAGGAAGCCCAAGAGCCAGGACAGAGCCACGAGCAAATTAACAAAACTGCTCTTATAACTGCTCCCTGTGGCAAGGCCCTTCCCTCTCCCCACCCTTCCAAACCCCATCATCTCTGCACTGCCTAAAGGGATGTCACAGGATCTGGAAGAGAGGAGGGTACCCAGACTCTGGCCCTGCATGTTTCTCATCCCTTGCAGCAACCGCTGGTGCAGGTGGCAGCCTGGTGCATCGGGGAATACGGGGACCTCCTGCTGGAGGGGAGCTGTGAGGAAACGGAGCCCCTTCAGGTGGGTCCTGCTTTGGGAGTCCACTGAGGAGGGTCAGGTCAGGGGAGGCAGGGCTGGCCCCAAGGTCACTCCTTGTGTGCCCCCGGAAGGTGGAGGAAGAGGAGGTGTTGGCACTGCTGGAAAGGGTGCTGCAGTCCCATATGTCCCTGCCGGCCACCCGAGGATACGCCCTCACGGCCCTCATGAAGCTCAGCACCCGGCTGCATGGGGACAACAAGTGAGAATGGGTCCCAGCCCCTCCCACAGAGCCTCTTCTTGGTGCGTCCAGTGAGAGATGCCCCTTCCAGTTTCTGACCTCTCTGGGCCCACAGTTCGATTGCCCGCCCACCCCAGCCTACTTCCCAAGTCTTTAGGTTCTTCTTTTTGAGACAAGTATTGTGGGTATCTTCCTGCCCTGTGGGGACCCTTCCTTCTCTGCCGCATCCTGGAGGTGAAGGGCCGGGCAGACTGCCGTCCCCACTCACATGGCTCCCTGTGGCCCAGCCGCATCCGCCAGGTGGTGTCCATCTACGGGAGCTGCCAGGACGTGGAGCTGCAGCAGCGGGCGGTGGAGTACAACACTCTCTTCCGGAAGTACGACCACATGAGGTGCGAGCGCCACTCTGCCACGGTGGGGACCCAAACCCTTGCCCATTCCCCAGTGTCCCTTTCTGGGGCCGAGAGCCTCATCCTCACCTGTGTCCTTCCTCATCCACAGTCAGAGCCTCCCACCCACAGTTCATTGAAGCTAAGTAGGCTTCCCACCCTCCTTGTTTGTCTGAAATCCAGCAACAGTGTGCCATCCTAGGAAATCGGAGGGGCACTTCTGACCCTCCATGTTCTTGCCCCTCTTCCCTCACACCTCTTCTGAAAAGCCCAGGGTCTCCCCAGAGGGTGACACCTGTTTTCTGTCCTCTCAGGGCTGCCATCCTAGAAAAGATGCCTCTTGTGGAGCGAGGTGGTCCTCAGGGTGATGAGGAAGCAAAGGAAAGCAAAGCAGCAGCCCGGCTTTTGGAAGCAGCTCCTGTCCCCACAGAGCCCCAGGTGAGGAGGCAGGAGCCCCAGGGACGAGCATGGTCCAGCTTCCACACCCAACCCTGACCCTTCTGCCCTTTCCCCCAGGCCTCAAAGCTCTTGGATCTGTTAGATCTCCTGGATGGCCCTTCTGGGGATGCTCAGCACCCTCCCCCTCTGGACCCCACCCCAGGAGGCGCTTTAATACACCTCCTTGACCTTCCCTGTGCTCCCCCACCCGCTGGTAAGCCTCAGCAAAGGGGAGACATCTTAAAGAAGGGGTGGTGGAAATGGGCTGCTTCCCTTTCTAAGCCAAGGACTGAGGTTTGGGTACAATCTTTCCTGCTATGTGTCCCCATCACATCCCTGTCTTAGTACAAGGGTTCATTAGATCATGCCAGTCTCCTCCTGGACACCCTTCAGTATCTTGCTTTGTTCCATACTTCTTTCCTGGCTTCTGGCCCTGCTTCCTCCCTGCCCACCTCATGTGCTCTCTCACTACCTGCTCCACTGGCCCCTCCCAACTCCTCAGGCCCTTGGTGTTCATATTCTTTTCACGTGGAAAGTTCTTTCCCCAGCACATCAGACAACTGGCTCATTTTCTCTTCAGGTCTCAGCAGAAATGTTGGCTGCCTTCCCCCACCACTCCTGTTTAAGTTAGTTGCTCCCAGTTATTCTGACAATAGTTTATTTCCTTCCAAGCACCAATTACAGTCCCTGGTTATCTTGTTTTCTGGTGTATTGCTTCGCTCCCCCAACTAGACTGTAAGCCCCAGCAGGGACCTCAACTTCTTGTCCACTCTCACTAACATCTCCAGTGCCCTGCACCCAGTGGGTGCTCATTTAATTTTTACTGAACGAGTGAATAAACTCATTCTCTTCAGCCTACACACTGAGCTAATTCTCTTCCCCAACTCTAGCTCCCATCCCAAATCTCAGAGTGTTTGAGCGCAAAGGACTGCAGCTGAATCTGTCTTTCGTTCGACCCCCTGAGACTCCTACTTTGCTGTTGATCACTGTCACTGCGACCAACGACTCAGGGGGTGATGTCACCCACTTCATCTGCCAGGCTGCTGTGCCCAAGGTTTGTAGAAGACCAGGATTCAGAGATGGCCTGGGTACTCCAGGAGAAAAAGCCACTACATGGAGGAGGTGGGTGGGGGAGAGGAGATGAGAAGGGAGTGATGTGCAGAGGCGGGCACTTAGGGAGTTATGGGAAGTGGCTCTAAAACTTTTGGGTGTGGAAGGGTTGCCTGAGCCCAGCCTGCCTTACTATGCTCTGTCCAACCTCTGTTCAGAGTTTCCAGCTGCAGCTACAGGCCCCCAGTGGAGACACAGTTCCAGCTCAGGGTGGCCTTCCGATGACCCAGCTCCTCAGAATCCTAAATCCTAATAAGGTGAGCTGCAGGAGCCCCTTGAGCCTAAGACCCAGGGAAGGGCGGAGTCATCGGTGCTGACCCTGGTCTCCGCTCTCCTATTTGTAGGCCCCCTTGCGGCTGAAGCTGCGCCTCACTTACAACCACTTTGGCCAGTCGGTGCAGGAAATCTTTGAGGTGAACAACTTGCCTGTGGAGACGTGGCAGTAACTCATCTTCCACTCACAACCTGAAATCCTCCTGTGTCCCCAAACCCCGGGGGCCCCCAACTACTTGGAGCCAGTGCTGGAGGGTGACCAGCAGGTGGCGCTCTGGTCCTGTGCTTGCCACTGCAAAAACTGGGGGCTGCCCCCTAACCCCACAAATAATGAAATCCCAACAAAGTCCCAATAAAGCTATAGGGGGGAAAGCCATATTTGAGGTAGAAAACGTACGTGACTAACAGCCAGGGGAAAGCCTGCTTACACAGGAAGTATGTACCTTGCCATGAGGGTTTTCTTTTTTACCGCTCTCCGGGCTGGGGAGCCAGTCTGCCCCCAGATTTCCAGAGGAGACACTGTACCCTCTGGGCCAGAGCAGGGCACAGTGGCAACATCAAACCAGAACTCCTAGATTTCTAACAGAGATTCCCACCCATTTCCCCAACCTGCTGCTATTCCCCCAACCCTGGGGCAGGGAAATCCCTGCTGCCTCGCCTCGTCTCTAACTCAGCTGTAAGGCGGTTTAGGAGCCGCTGGCAGAATCAATGGCATCGACCAAGGGAGGGGGGGGTGGCAAGGGATTTTCCTGTGCTTAACTACTGATCACGGCTAAGTGGAAATCCTATAAACACGAGCGGAAATCAATGGAGGCTGCTTAGCGGCCAGGGGAGAGGGGCGGCCCACAGATTGCATCTGACGGATGAGGGAGAGGAGGCAGCTAAGGAGGGCTCCAGGAAGGACAGCTGAGGGTAGGGTGAAGGAACAGGCGGAGCTGGAGAAGGGCGTCACTGTGGGAAGGGAAGCCAGAGAAGAAGCACAGTGAGCCCAGGAAGGACCTTCATTAGACCCAGAGCTCTCGTCCCCACTGAGGAAGTGACACCCTAGCCCAGTCTCATGTCCGGATCTTTAGTCCCCTGTGGCTTCTCTCTGGAGCCATACACTTCGAGCAGGCGCTGATAGTCCTGAGGCCGGAAGCGCTGTAGGTACACAATCAGCTTGGCAGGTGCAGTCTCCTGTGCTGGTACACCTAAAGGCAAAAGGAGAGTGAGGCGAGAACCAGACAGCCACAAATGCTTTGACTTTCCCTGCCCATGCAGCTGGACCCCAAAGTTGTTTCCAAGGCAGCACTGGGATTCTGAATGCCATCCAACCAGCTTCTCTTACCCACCAGCCCACTCCCCGACTGGCCTGGGCAAGTGGGGACTAAAAGGGCCACTTCAAGCAGGAATGGACCACGGAAGCCAAGCCTGCGCTTCTCCTCCAGCGCGGAGAAGTGGTAGAGAGGTAGGTACTGGGGCACCATGAAGACAGAAGGTGCCTCAACAGCGACTCATTTCAGTGAGTGACTTCTCCTGCCCCCCAGTCGAGAGATTAAAGCCCATCAAGGCAGGCCAAAGCTCATTAGCTTGGTAATGAAGCGCATGCAGAGATGCACAAAGAGAGAGACACCAAGGGACTGTAGAAAGAAGAGAAAGAAGCAGCTACAGCCATGGGGTGGGATTCACAGAGAATTCTAGCCTCTGTGGCGTGGAGTCACGATAAGCCAGTGTCTGACTGCTAGTGCCTGGCAGCATGCTGGGCAGATAGCAAGGAGCTGGCTGTATGTCTGCTGAGGAGGCAAGAACAGCATTCCAGGGATGTAAGGATGCACAGCCCTACACTCGTGTGGATGAACTGTCTACAAGGGAGCTAAGTCTGGAAACAGAAAATCATATCTGCCAACACCTGTCCCACTGTCTACCATATAAACAAAACATTCTTGCCCTTTACTCAGGCCAACAGGACAAATTAAATGAGGATTTGGTTGTGAAAATGAGAGGACAGGAGTTGAGGGGAAGGATGGATGGAGGGAAAGATTGAAGAGAGAGCTGACAAATGGAACTGAAGGACATCTGGAGTGGTTAGAGGTTTAAGAACTAAATGACTGGGGTAGATTAGGGACACATGGAAGGGTTCAATCCAGGTTAGACAGCTATTGCAAAAGAGGAAACCAGATTTGACTGAGCCCTAAGCAAACTGAGTCCTCTAGAAAATTGCTAAAAATAATTCCCCTTACAGAAATAGACTCAAGACCCTCCCCACCAACTGGTCCAGTGGGTACGTCCAGAAGAGGAACAAGGGAAGCACAGAAGGGCCTGTGTCCCTCACCGAGCATGCTGCTGAGGCTGTGGATCTTCCTTAGGGCGGTTGGGACTTCAGCCTCTTTGTGCACCAGGGCCTCTACCTCACCCACAGCGTAGCCAAAGTCAGCTGTATCCAGGTCCACCCTGAGCGGTGGCTCCTCTTCATCAGCTCCAGATAGCACCAGTTTCCAGGCACTCCGCTTAGTCACAAAACTAGCTACTTCTTGCAGCCCCAGCGGGCCCAGAGCAGCAGCCACACCTCCAGCCCCTAGGACCTCAGCTCCCAGCACCTCACAGAGTTGGGCCACAATTGCAGGCTCAGCTGTGAGTTCCATGTACTCAGTGTGGGGGCCGGAGACACTTGTTGCTCCGGGACATTTGAACTCCCATCCACTACCCTCTCGCTGCCGCAGCCAGTGGTCAGCCCGCATGAGGCTCAGCTCAGGGGTGTCATAGTAGCTGTCTCGGAAAGTGACCCGGTGCTCCAGGACGGCCCCCAACTCCTGCAGCCGCTCCTCTGTGCCAGGCCCGGGAATGAACTTTCGCTCCACTTCAATCAGGCCCTGGGCCATGCTCCCTGCAATCAGTCAATCAACAAACATTGGCTGAGCTCCCAAAGACACCCTTCCCGCCCCCGCGCCCACACCAGAAGAACTTAAGAGGCGTACACAGTCACAGTGCTCTCTGTTGGGGGCCCTTTCTTCCTGCCTCTGTGATGGATGGCCCGTCTGTCTCTGATGTTTTGAAGCTCAACAACAGTGACGGGTCTCCAGTTAGACTCCTTCCAGTGCTGCTGATGTCCTGAATCCAAAGGACTTCCTAGAAAGCAAGCCGTGTAGCAGATGTCCCTTCAACGCGCCCCCTCAATACCCTGCTACCCCGGGAGGCCGGTGGATCACTGTCAGGGACAACCCCGCCCGGCCCCCCATAGCCCAGGCCCGCGGAACTTCGGGTCTCACCTCAAAGAACCAAGGGTCTCCCTCTCGCGGGACCTGGAGAACGGGGAAGGAACCCAAGCCACGCCCGCGAGGAATGCCGGGAGATGTCCCTGGCCCGGACCTCGGTCCGGCTCTCTGTGCATCCAGGAGGACCCAGCACGAGCGGCCATGTTAGGCCCGATGTGGCAGTGTCGAGGACAGGCCGGCGCCTGAGAGACCTGCTAGGTTATGGGGGGCTGCGACCTCCGCGGTGGACCTGGAACGAGGCCGCCCCGCTGTGATTTGCTCCTCATCCCCAACCCTCCCGGCTCCTGGTGGGCGGCCCGGGTCTCAGGCCGCAGGCTAAGCCCGGCACCCTGGGGGCTCCGGGTGCATGATGGGAGATGTAGTTCCAAAGGGAAGCTTTGCTTTCTCGCCCCACCCGTCGCTATGGTGACAGGAAAGCTGTGATTAACGCCGGCGGGACTTCTAAAGTTGAGCTGGGGCGGATGGAAAAGGAACTGAGACCCCAGTCCTATCTCCAACCCCCTTAATGCGTAGGAAGATGGGCCTGGAATACAAGCCACTCACTCAGACACTGTCCAGCAGATTTTTTTTGACTATTACGGTGGCTCAGTAAGTGCAGGCTGATGGCAATGGGCTGGAGGAAAAAAAAGAAAGAGAAGGAAAACTGAGACCAGTTTAGCTACTCTGAAGTTTTAGAGGGGATTTAATACATCCCCATGAATGTTAAGGGTAAGGATGGATGGGAGACTTTCTGTCAGAAGAAAGTGATATTTTGGATGGCAACTAAAGACATGATGGGATTTCAACAGTTGGAGACCCAGATGGAGACAGGAACAGCATGAGCAAAGGACCAGAAGCTGGAGAGCACCTGAGAGTGTGTAAGAGAAAAGAGATGAAGCTTGAAATACAGTTGAGGAGCAAGTTGGAAAAGGCCTTGAGTGCCAGACTGAGGCGTTTGTCACTGAGTTTCCAGTGGCCTCTGTGCAGGCTTTATCAGGAATAGAAATATTCGTGTTCATTTAAAATACAGGAAGACATGAGAATGATCCTTTTTTTTGGAAACAAAATAAAGAAAACTCTTCTTTACTCTCTCCAAGGACTATGATTACCTAGATGGCGTCAACTGTAAATCTACCCCTTTTGGTAAGGTAGCTTGCTGAAGAGCAGTGGCTCTTGTCAACTGCTGGGCTCCCTCCTTTTATGGATGCAAATTGCTCAGTTCTCAACGCCTGTCCTCTCCCGGGTATGTGTCTGGAAACAGGTGACCTGTAGGAAGTACTGTGGAGAGGACACTGGTTTACAGACATGGCATCTTGAACTTGGATCTCTTGGCTGCATGCTTCCCCCCACCCCCATCTCATGACAAGCACCAATAGGCAGGGAGGAGAGGGAAACCAGCCCCTAACTCCTTTCACTCGCGTGCTTTTCATCTGCCCTTTGCTTTTCAGTTTTGTTGCCTAAGGGAAAAAGACAATCTCTTCCCTGAGTTAAAAGGTCCAATTCGGTGGGGCAGAGGCAGCAGTTTAAGTACAAGGAAAGACCAGACTCCAAAGCTAGACTGACCTGGAGTTGACTCTCATTTTTACTTGGTTGGTGTTTGGCATTGGGCAAGCTACTCCACCTCCGTGAATCTCTGTTTTCTCTTTGGTAAAACGTGGACTGCTTCACAGTTAAGTGAGGATTCCATGACAAACTGTCCCATCGTAAATTTTAAAATGTTTGGGTTTTTTTCCTTTTTTCCTGTGAACTACAGGATTTTTCTTTCTTTTTTTTTCTTTTAAGAGAAGCAGTCTAATGTGGGCTCTGGAGTCAGACCATCAAGGTTTGAATCCTGGCATGGTCATTTATTGGCTGTGTGACTTTAGGCCAGTTAATTAACTTGTTTGTGCCCTGGTTTCCTCAGCTGTAAAATGGGACTGTAAAATAGTTGTGAGGATTAAATAAGTTAATATATGTAAACGTGCTTGGAACTGTCCCTATATACTCTATAAATTTTAGCAATTACTGTTATTAGATTACAGGAGGGCTTGTGAGCTGATAAACTGAAGATAAGGATGGGGAACTAGAACCTCCCCCACCCCCCACCCAACTCTGGGGACTATATAACCACGTGGAAGAAACAGAAGCTCCTAGAGATCAGAGTAATTGCTGTGGAAGAGAAGGTTGAAGTACCCCATTGGAAGGGAGGGTAACATAAGGCAAGAAGCATGTGAAAAAAAAGAGAGGCCTTGATGACTCCGGGAAGCTGGTAGAAGCCAAGGCTTGTTCTAGAGCTGGTTTAAAACAAAATAACATAACATATGTATGATTTCTGTAGGCAGAAGAAAGAGGAAGAGAAGACGGCAAAGTGTTTAAAAGAGCCTTTCCTCTTTGCAGGCACCGGCTTGGACCTGGTGCCAAAGTCGAGCAGGTGGCCGGACAGGGGACCGCCTTCACTCCGGCCTTGGGTCCCACCCAAGGTCCAACAGGCAGGCGGACACCAAGCTCTAGGGCCGGCGGGCGGGGGCGGGGGCGGACGGACTACAACTCCCAGCATACTCCGCGGCGGGCGGGCCGCTGCACCTGCTCAGTGGGGCCGCCCCGGGCGCCTGGGTATTGATTATTCCATTGTGTGGGACGCCTCGGCTCCAGCCAGTGAATGAGGCGGAGGAGTGAGGGCGAGGAGGAGGAGGAGGAGGGCGAGGAGGAGGAGGAGGAGGAGGCGGCAGGGAGCGAGCGAGAGTGCCCAGGGTGAATCAATGGAAACCCCCTCACGAAGCCGGGAAAACACTTCAGCCGCAGCCAAATAGCATTGATTATTTTCCTTCACTTCCCTCACCGCCGTGAATTTATTTATTTATTTTTTCCATCTCCGTCCCCGACGCCCCGGAGTGAGCGCTGGAGGGAGGGAGGAGGAGGGGAAAAAAGGAATCAACACATCGGAGAAGTCCCTTCCAAGAGCCACCCCCTCCCCTCCCCGCCTCGCGCTGCTCGGCGGCCGCGGTTCGACTCCCGTCCCTGCTTCCAGCTGAGGTGTAAGTGCATCGATTTCCGATGCTGCTGGGTTGGTTTTTTTCTCCTCTCCCTCTCTCTCTTCTTCCTTTCCTTGCTCTTTGGAAGCTTGAGACGGAGGGGAGAGGAGGCGCTCGGAGACTGCCGCTGGAGGGCACGGAGAGGGACGGGAAGGGGCTGGGGGGAGGGGACCTGGACGGATAGACGGACAGATCGAGAGCCTGAGGAGAAGGAGGGACAGGGGTGTGGGTGGGAGGGAGAGGGCCTGCGAGCGGGAATGGGGAAAAGAGTGATGCTGGGGTAGAGGTAGAGACGGGGAAAGGAAAGGCATCGAGGCTGGACCAGGAGCTAGCCGGACAGACGGAGGGTTACGAGAGCCTAGACGGACCGCGCGGAGCTGTGCGGGAAGCGGGGGTCCCGGAGGGAAGGGGAGGCCGGGTGAGTGCCGGGGCTCTGAGCTGTCAGCCAGGAGGGGCTTGGGTCTCGGCGGCCCCCCGCCGGCCGCAGGATGAGGGAGGAACGGCGGCTAGCCGGCGGGCTGATGGATGGGCAAGCGCGCTGGGGGGTTGGGGGTAGGGGTGGGAGGGGACGTGGATATCCTTAATCTTCGACCATAGGTTTTGCCTGAAGTTGAGTTGTTTGTTGGGTTGGTTTTTTTTGTTTTGTTTTGTTTTGTTTTGCTTGTTTTCTGTTTTGGGTTTTTTTGAAAGGTGCCAGTAGGTGAAGGGGAGGCCAGTGCTCCTATTCAGGGTGCAGTGTGCCTCTCCTGGCTCCCCAACTCCCCATCCGCTCTAGTCTGCCGCTCTCTCTGAATGGCCCTATCGTTGAACACTCGACCACGCGTCTTGCTGCGCCTGTTGCCCCGCTGATCTCTGCCATGTGTCCCTATCTCTTGATTTTGCCGTTCTTCACCTCATTCATTCTCCCCACCCATTCATGTCCGGGTCTGTCTGTGTGTCACTGTCTCCAGATGTGACTTCCTCTCCGAGTGATCCTCTCGCTGTGTGTCCCTGTCACTATGTGTCACACCTTGCTGCCTGACTGTTCTAGCCACCGAGGACTCCATGCCCTTTCCCTCAGGGTCTGAACAGATAGCTCTGACCTTTTCAGGCTGCTTTGGAGTTTGCTTATCAGTCATGACTAATGGTTCTGGTCAGGGGCCTGGAAGAGTGGAGGGATGGAACAGATGTGTCTTCCCCAGGGTCTCGAGTACCCTTTCAGCATGACCAGGACGGCCTCCTCTTCCATCTTCACCCAGGAAGCTTTGGAACTTTCTAGCATTGTTGACCATCCCCTTTGCCATGTGCCTGTGTCCCCCATCAGGCCCTCACCTCTGGTCTCCTGAGTAATCATCTGCCTCTCCAGGAGCTTCCCACCACAAACCTCTTCCTTGTCGACTTGATTTTCCTCCCTTCCCTCACTTTACTATTATGTATTTTTTTATTTCCCCACTTCGTTTCACACCCTTTAGTTCCCATCCCTGTCTCGCATGATCTCCTTGGCCTATTCTTCACCTTTGTTTCCATCATCTGTCCTCTTCCTACCTTTTCTCCTTGGTCACCCTAAGTTTCTTGTATTCCTTATCTTCTCACCCAGCATTTTAACCCCAGCAGCAGAAGAAACCAGAAGGGCTGGGAGAGGTGGGGAGTATGCTTTGTGAAGGCACATTATTAACAGGCCAAGAAATCAATGTAGCAGGTTTCCAGGGCATATCACCCCTTCATCAGTCAGGGCCATTATGTTCATTCACTGCCAGCTTGGATTTTGTAAGGGGATGTTCTCTGGGACTCTGAGCTCCACCCTGCTCAGTTGCCCCTTATCTTTCAGTTCATCTAGACATCAGTGGCTTTTTCTTTACTTTCTAATTCATCTTCCTCCTGGGTCCCTACTCTTATCATACTTGGATTCAGCACGATTTTTTACCGGGCAGTTTTCATTAGTGTGACAGAAGCTAGTTTATGCAAAGGACCAGGTTCATTGAGCCTAAAGAATGGGAAAGATGGATAAAGAGTCTGGAGAATTTACCTTGTTTTAAGCCCATCATGGTTTTTCTAGGCTTTGGGAGCTTGAAGGGTGAAAGGAGGAGGTAGATATGGGCAGGGAAGATTTCAGAGGTGAACAGTGACAAAAAGATAGGGGAGGCTGGGTGCAGTAAAGGCATGACGTGAGGAATGTGCGAAGGCAGGAAAGAAAATCCATGCGGAATGCTGGGCAGGGGAGGAACCGAGGGGTGATTAATGAAAAATTGGGAGAGTGAAATAAAACACGAGTTAATAGTGCTACAGAAGGAAAGAGGGAGAGAAAGGATAGAATCTTTCTAAAGAGGAAGGTCAGTGGAACGAGCAATGTGAAATGAGTCCAGTGGTAAAATGGG